AGCTATGCCCAGCCTTGGTTTCCTATCTGTCATCCATTGGAACACTAAGCAGGTCCAACCTGCTTAACTTTTTTTCAAGCTCAGCCAAGGTCACCTGCAATGAAATGTACTTGTGAGAGAATCTACTGGAATTCCTGCCAAACATCTTCAGGAAGCAAAAATTAGAATGTCACATTGTGTGTTTGACCGACGTCTGCTTGCTCTCAAATTGTTGCTCTTACTGATTCGTAAGTAGTACAGTTAGTCCTCAAGTGGGACCAGAACCTCCATCACTAACCCTAAACAATGAGGTCATTAAGTGAGTTGTATTCATTTTGATCAAGTGACTGCGGGGATGTTGGGATAGTTTTAATTGCAGGACTGATCATAAGTCCTTTTTTTCCAGCACCACTGTAACTGTGAGCCATCATTAAAGTAATGATTGTAAGTCGAAAATTACCCATAAGTCATTTGGCATTCTCTACCCGGTGACCCTTCAGATGCATTGAACACAACTTCTCATTATTACATGTCAGCTGGGGATAATAGGACTTGTAATGAATCTGGAGACCACCAGATTGAGGAAGCCTACTCTTAAATTTTCATTCTGATCCTGTAAAATGCCTCCTATTGAAGTATCTTAAGATCCTGGGAGAGTTGCAAGTAGCAGCTCCTGGTTAAGTTTATATAGGTTCCAAAGCTAAGCAGGATTAGTCCTGTTGAAATTTGGATGATTACTTTCCAGGGAATTTCATGGCTGGAAACTAGAGCAGGAAGTGAAAGCAACAACTGAAAAAATTGACCAAAATCACTATTTATGTAGTTGCCAAGAAAACTGAATGGCCATGTTCATGAAATCAACGGGGGATGCTCAGAATCTAAGAAAATGTCTGGCCTTGGAAAATATTTTGTCATGTTGTTTGTTTTTAAGCTTATTTCCTCTAAAAGTACTGATAAAAATAATTGCAACAATAAAGAATTTACTCTGATCTTGACATTCTCTTTGCAGACATTTCATTGCCCCAACAAGTAACATCATCCACCCTTTTGGTTTATTCCAGAATGGTATATAATTAATAAATTAATTATAATAAATAATATACACTACCTTAAATTTTGCCTCTTGAATCTCTGGATAGAAGCTTTATCTATTGCACATTCCAAAATTATCTCATGCAACCAGTCTGAGAAATAAGAATTAAGCTTATTATTCTACTGTTACCATGATTTTTTTAAATAATTCTTTGCCAGGAAGAATATAAGATGTATTAAAATTCTTTGTCTATTTCCCTGCAAATAAAGCATTTTAATACAAGGATACTAACAATAAAAGAAATATTGTCAACTTCAATTCTAAAACTAATTTCAGATTCATAAGCATCAGGGAAAATATTTTTGGGACTATAAAAAGTAGTAAGTTGTAAGTTGAAGATGGCATGTTTGACAGCTCATATTCATTAACATTTCCCTGCATTTAGAAATCTAGAGTCTCTGTGTCTTTGGAGAAAGAAGTAAATCTACAATTGTACTTACAACTGCTATAAAGATTAGAAGCCACTTCTTCATCTTTTTTCTTTCTCTTCTACCTTTTTTGCACTTTAGTTTTCTCTTTTGTTTCTTCATTTTTCTTTCTTGTTTTATTTTAGTTCATACTAATTTTACTATCGTTTTAAAAATCTTTAATAAAGTTATATTTTTAAAAAAAAGAAATCTAGAGTCTCTTTTCCTACAATACAACATTGGTACCTTGAGGGCACAATATTTTTTCGCGTGGGAAACAAGTCAAGTCCCAACAGTTTTCCTGGCCACATTTCTTTGAAGTGTTTCCCATTATATTGCTTCCTTCTTGGCTGGGATAGAATGGCTCAAAATGCACCAGGTGGCTTCATGCCTAAGGCAAGACTAGAATTCATGGTCTCCGGTTTTCTAACCTGGTGCCTTAAACCACTACACAAAAAATGAGAAGAGGACATATAGGTAGTCGACTTACAGCCTCAATTGAACCCCAACTTTCTGTTGTTAAGTGAGACACTTGTTAAGTGAGTTTTGCCCCATTTTAAGATCTTTCTTGCAAAGGTTGTTATGTGAATACTTCAGCTGATAAGTTAGTAACCCAGTTGTTAAGTGAATCTGGCTTCCCCATTGATTTTGCTGACCAGAAGGTCACAAAAGGTGATTGAGTGGTCTCGTGACAAAGCAATGGTCATAAATATGAACCAGTTGCTAAGCATCTGAATTTTGATCATGTAACTATGGAGATGCTGCAAAGATCATAACTGTGAGAAATGGTCATAAGTCATATTTTTCAGTGCTGTTGTAACTTTGAACGGTCACTAAATGAACTGTTGTTAAGTTGAGGATTACCTGTACTGAAAACTGTTTACGTAAAACTATTTTAACTAATCTGTGAATAATGTTTTACTGGGAAGAGAGAAAATTTAGCACAATTGAAAAGTCACAATATCACAGCAGTAAGAGTCTAATATCTTGTTCACAGATTCCTCCTGAAAACCCCAAGTGAGTTATTGCTTCTGTGCAAATGCAATCTCATGTGAGACTTTTTTGTCTTTTGTTTAAAAAAAAAATGCCCCAAAGTAGCCTCACAGAGGGAAATGTGCCCCATTTTAAGGGGAGCAGCATCTGAACTCAAACTTGTCAACTTTAGGTCATTCCCAATCTACATCCGACCTAGAAGGAATCTGTTTAGCTGCCAGCAGAATTAAAGAAGCTAGTTCTGTAAATACAACGCATGGGATATGAACTCTGGGATATGAACTCTTGGCTAGTCTCTTCCAGTTCCAAAACCCTCTGAATTATCGTCTGCTCAGATAAGCATATCCTGGACATCAATCAACCACCCCCAGAATGGTACAGTTGCGCAACAGAAAATAAGGAGACCAGAGAAAGGGGGCCTAAGTACATTAATAGAGGTGGTCCTAGTTCAGCCCTTGTCATCTCCATTTAGAAACCGACTGAGTAGCAAGTAGTAGAGAGCAAGAACTGACATTAACAGGCTAAATAAATCAATAGCTTGTACTGATGTACAAGCAACTAGTGAAGCACCTCCCCTCAAAAGAGGCTCCTTAGTCTCTGAGTGAGTCACTCTTCTTATCTGCCAATAATTCTAGGAGATGCATCCTTCTTTATCTTACATTTTGGGTATTAAGAGGAAATTCCCATCAATGGGAGCCAGTTTGGTCTACTCTAGTGATTATGGCACTAGACTACAAAGCGGAAGACCGTGAGTTCAAGTCCCTTCTTAGCCATGAAAGCCAGCTGGGTTACTCTCCCTCAGCCTAAGCTACCTCACAGGGTTGTTGTTGTTGTGTGTTGGAAATAGGAGGAGGAAGGTGTGTTGGATCTGCTCATCACCTTGTTATTTTGCAAAAACAATAAAGGCAGGATTTAAATAAATAAATAAGTTTAGTATACAATCAAACTAACTTCTGTATGATGGAGAGAATAACGGTTTTTTGTCATTACAGAAGGTTTGACAAAAAAAATAAAATAAAAACACCATCCACTGAGAAAGAACTCTTAAACCCTGTATGTTTCAAGAGAATGAGAATGCAATAGGAGTCATCTTTTGAGTGTCTGCTTAGATTATTTTAAACCTTACTGTACTAGCTTGGACTAGGTTTGTGAACAAAAATTGCACACTTTTTCTGGACCAAGGCCACTCTGCTCTTTGAGTCCATACAGGCAATCTGCAATTTACAACCGTTCATTTACTGAAGGGTTGAAATTACACTACTACTAAAAAAAGTGACTTATTTTTCATAATTCTGACCTATGCTGCATCCCCGAGGGATTAAAATCCAGAGATTTGGCACATATTTATAACAGTTGCAGTGTCTTGGGGTCCTGTGATGATATTTGTGGCCTTCTTACAAGTAAAGTCAATGGGGAAGCCAGATTCAATTAACAACCATATTATTCACTTAACAATTGCAATGGTTCACTTAACAACTGTGGTAAGAAAGATCATAAATGGAGCAAAATTCACTTAACAACTTTCTTGCTTAGCAATGGAAATTTTGAGCTCAACTGTAGTCCTTAAATCAAGGACTATCACTAAATTTGCTTTCATTTTCTTTATAGTTAAACAGCGTTGATATGATTAGTTCTCCAGTTACATAAGAAATATTTTCTCCTTTTAGGCACTTTTAAAGGATCCTCTACTTTAAATTGTGCCTATCTGCACAAAAATCAAGCAGCAGCTTCCTCCACAAAGTGTCTCCCACAGCTGCAGCTGCAAGGGATGGAAACCCAAGTAATTCTCCAGGCTAAATGATGTTCTACGAATTGCTTGATTTTTTGTTGTTGGCGTTTATTCTTTTCTCATAACAGCAGATGAGAAATAGCATGAAGAAAGAGGAGGCTGCTAGAGTACAATTACAGATTAATAATGGAAGAAATGGGAATATCATGGTTGGTAAACAAAACTTTATTACAGGTTTCGTGTTGGAAGCAAACCCACTTGCATGAAATCTATGTAAAATGCAGCTATTTTTCACTACACACAGACACACTCTGGTGTTCCCAGCCATGCATGCTGTTAGGTTAAAAAGTTGAGAGGGCGTCAAATACGAAAAGTTGGCTATTTTGCATTGTGGCATTCCTAATCTTTTATAAAACAGCTTAAGCTTCGCGGGACTTAATCGCTGGAACGTTAATTTGAATTTTGCCAGATTGCAAGTTCATACTTTATCTGACTGTCGAGTTATTATTCTTTTTCGGCAACCTAAGGGTGGTCTTCCAGCCTCTCCCGTCCTAAAAAAAAAAAAAATTAAGCGCCAAAGCCAGACTGGGGCTTCCCGCCTCGATTTACCCTCTAAATAAAGCAGCATCGGAAGAGTTTTCCATACTCCGCTACCAGCCCCGAGAGTCTGAGCGCCGATCTCTTGCTCAAGAGTGGCTGGAAGGGTTTTTCTCCTCTTCCCAACTTTTGCAGCCCCCGCAACCCGCAACGACGTTCCCCGCACTCGCTCCGAAAGCCTGAAGAGTTTGGCTAAACTTACCTTTGTTGGCGAGGAAAGCAGAGCGGTGCCTGGGTTTCTCCGGGGAGCGGGGGAACGAAAGGGGCCGAGCAAATCGATTTAAAACACGGACTCGGCTTTGCAGGCTGGGCTGCGGGAAGCGGGTTCGGTGCGATCTCCCCTTTTCCCCATCTTTCGGGCGGCGGCGGCGGCGGGAGGATGGAGGTGGTGGGCAAAGGCGCACCGCGCGCACTTGGGATGGTCTCGGACGGAGCTTTTGCCTCCCCAGCTCGGACGGGGAAGAATAGAAAGAGGTGGAAGTTTACGGGGCTGGGGGTGGGGTGGGTGG